TCAAAAAATAGTGGAAAGTGTAGAACAAGTTACATTCCGCGGTTCCGCCCGCATAATCGAATTGAATGTTCACGTTAACTTATACAACCCATTACAAGGTTCATCGTATATTGAAACTCCTAAAAAGTTACGATATAAACATGCAGTTATCAACGTACAAAATCAACTTGACGAAATGTGCTTCAAATGGGCTATTCTATCTGCTATACATCCGGTAACTGATCATCCAGAGCGAGTTCGTCATTATTATCAATATGAGAACGAATTGAATTTTGATGGAATCGATTTTCCCGTCCATTTGAACCAAATCGACAAATTTGTTCGACAAAATAACACTATATCGATAAATGTATATTATTATGATGATGACAATGAGGGTCATATATGTCCATTACGTGTGAGTAATGAAGTTAAGCAGCATCACATTCATTTGCTGCTAATAAAAAACGGAGAAAGTGTTAATGAAACTGAGGTGAGAAATTTTAAAACAGCTAGCACTTCCAACATGATTAAGGAGATCTGCGATAATAATTCAATTCGTACTCATTATTGTTGGATAAAAAATTTAAGCCGTTTAGTCAGAAGTCAGCTGAGTAAACATAAATCTCGAAATTACATTTGCGATCGCTGTCTAATATTTTATGATACAAATGAAAAATTAATGAAACATACAGCAAAATGTACAAACGAGTGTAGCATTGAAATGCCCGATCAAACATGGAAATGGATGAAATTTGATAACTATAAACATCAGCTGAAAGCACCATTTGTTGTTTACGCTGATACTGAAGCATATCTGAAGGGGCTCAGTATGGAAGATCAAAAATGCATATTTAGCGAGGAATGTTCAACTACCGCATATCAGCAGCATCATATGTACAGCGTTGGATATTACTTTAAATGTGAATTTGACGATTCACTTTCATATTACCGAAGCAGCGGCAATCGTACCGATAGCGTCGAATGGTTCATCACAGAATTGAAGAACCTCGCCCATGGAGTTGCAATGTTATTTGATAAAAACACACCAATGCTACCGTTAACTGAAGATGAGAGATATGCATTTCAAAATCCAAATGCATTATGTACGATTTGTGGTGATATTTTTGAAGCATATGATATTAGAGTACATGATCACTGTCATCTCACCGGTCGATATAGAGGTCCAGCCCATCAAGCATGCAATTTACAGTTCCAAGATAGCCACGTTGTACCCGTTATTATGCACAATTTGTCGGGGTACGACTCACATCTATTCATAAAAGAGTTGGCAGCAAATAATATTATAAATGGAGATGTTTCAATTATTCCTGCTAATGTGGAACAATACATCGCTTTCACGAAAGTAGTGACAGGGAGCACACGTGGACTCAATACGAGAGAAAACGTAAAATTTAAATTTATTGATTCATATCGATTCATGCCTGCATCTCTAGCTGAATTAGCATCACTACTATCGGCAGATAAAAAACAAATATTGTATAACGAATGTGAGAAAAATGGCTACACACCAGCACAAATCGCTATGCTTGAACGTAAAGGCGTTTTTCCTTATGAATATGTGAGCGGTATGAAGCAGCTAAAAGAGGCAAAGCTACCATCAAAAGCAGATTTTTACAGCAAACTTCGTGGAGAAGGAATATCGCATGACGACTACCAATTCGCTCACGATATCTGGCAGAAATTCAATTGTAAAACGGTCGGAGATTATTCCGAACTATATCTAAAGACGGATGTGCTACTGTTGGCCGATATATTTGAACATTTTCGAAATACATGCCATGCGATTTACAGTTTGGATCCATCTAACTACTATACAGCTCCTGGCCTTTCGTGGGACGCCATGCTAAAATATACCAGAGTGGAAATTGAACTGTTAACTGATGTGGAAATGTTGCTGTTCATCGAACGTGGAATTCGCGGTGGCATAAGTCAGTGCAGTAAACGTCAAGTTAAAGCCAACAATAAATACATGGGAGATGTATACAATGATGAGAAACCTTCAAATTATTTAATGTATTTAGATGGTAAATAATATTTTATTCAATTATGTAAATAATATTTTATTCAATCGCGGATGATTGATTATGATCAATGAAGTGAAATTAGGTGATGAAAAAATCGAGTTCTGTAAGTCAATAAAGAACCTTGGTGTCATTTTTGACGAAAACTTTACTTTTCAAGAACATGACAAGTGTAAATTGCAAAAAGTGTATGGCGTGTTGAATCGCATCCGTCACACTAAGCGCTTTATACCCAATTACGTCAAACGTGATATGGCTGTAGCTCTGATAGATCCCATAATGGATTATGGAAATGTGGTAACATACGGCTGGGGAGCCCACAGCACCCAAAATCAGGTGCACCGTGATCTTGTCGCTGATAACGATAAGATTCGATACATTTACGGATTAAAACGTAATGATCATGTTACTGAATATCGTGAGCGTTTGAATGGATTGACTCCCGAGAGCAGAGCAAAACTGCAATCGGCAGTCTTGATATTCAAGCAGTTGTCAAATTGTTCGCCTGAGTATCTGAATCGCATGTTTGTTCGTAATGGTGAATCGTCGCGTTATCCAGATAATCTTCGCATTAATTTCAATCCACGTACCGCATTTGATACTCGCGCATTTAGTTTCTCTGCAATCAACTTTTGGAATAGTATATCGGTCGAAACAAGAAATTCTAAATCTCTAGTCGCGTTTAAAAATAACTTAAAGCATCTGTTACGTTCTACACAGTAAATTTTTCGACATTTTCAAATTGTAAAATTCTCGGACCATTGTTATGAAATTTCTTATCCAATTTAGATTAGGTTTGACTTTTCACTTGATTTCTCACATTGATGTTAAAGTACTTTAATCGTATAAACTAATAATCATTGTATTTCCCCTGGTTCTCCAGAATCAGGCCGGTTTTGCCATGGTTTTCCGGACACAATTTTGATATGAAAGCCTCACTTTTATATCATCCCTCCCCTGACTGTATTCTCTTTGTAAAAGACGCACCATGGGCGGAATTTATGCCGTATTGGGTCTCTGACCAGCATGTTCTCAGCTTGCTGTGAACACATATTGGCATAAATGTAGGCTTCGTAATAAATAAATAAATAAATGCACAGTCAATTTGATGATATTCTAGAATGTAATTTCGTTTTATTTCATTCACATTGATAGCAAATAACCTGTATGGACATGCAATGTCGCAACCATTACCGCTGAGAGATTTCAAATGGATTGAATACAACATTGTGAAGACATCTTTTTCAGATGCAGATGAAATAGCTAAATTAGCTGACGATTCGACATACGGCTATATATTCGAGGTGGATCTGCAATATCCAAAAAATTTACATGCTACACATAATGATTTTCCATTTTGTGCTGAAAAGCGAACGCTTCCGCAAAACCGAATAAAATCGAAAAATTATTGTTAACGCTATACGATAAAGAAAATTATATCATTCATTATCGCATGCTAAAATTAGCATTACAACACGGTCTAGTATCAAAAAAAGTACATCGAGTACTTCAATTCGAACAAAGTTGCTGGCTCAAGCCCTACATCGATATTAACACACAGCTACGTACGCAAGCTACCAACGACTTTGAAAAGTCGTTTTTTAAATATATGATAAACTCCGTCTTTGGTAAAACGATGGAGAATCTGCGTTTACGTGCAGATATCAAACTTGTCAACAAGTGGGGTGCGAAGTGGTGCAGGCATGTTAATTGCTCGACCGAATTTCAAGAAATGAAAAATTCTCAATGAAGATTTAGCAGTAATTGAGTTACAAAAAACACATATTAAAATGAATAAACCAATAATTATCGGTATGTCCATCTTAGACATATCGAAAATAACGATGTACAGTTTTCTGTACGACTTTTTAAAACCTAAATATGGAAAAAATTGTACGGTTGCCTATACGGACACCGATTCATTTGTTTTATCTGTTAAAACGGATGATTTTTATGCTGATATGAAGGCGAACATTGAACGGTTTGACACAAGCGACTATCACAACGAACCCGCGAAATGGATAGATAAAAATCTAAAGGATAATGTTTGCGATATGCCAAGAGTTAATAAAAAAGTGCCCGGTATTTTCAAAGATGAATTAAACGGGGATATTTTGGTAGAATTTGTCGGTCTACGTGCAAAATGCTACGCTGTACTACCGTTCAAAGCTAAAATGGAAATATGTGAATGTCCAGAAAGAGCTGTACCACCTCGCGTTATAACAGATAGCGACTATGTTGACTGCATCGAGAAGAATTGTATCATCGATAAAAAATCTAAGGTTATTAAAAAGTCTAAAGGTATAAAAAAAAACGTAGTGAAACGTAAAATTGCATTTAGTGATTATGTTGACTGTATTGAGAAAAATTGTAATATTTTACGTGAACAGTATAACCTTCGCTCAAAATTACATCGAATATTCACAATTAAACAGAAAAAAATTGCTTTAAATCCGTTTGATGATAAGCGTTACCTCATTCGTTCGAATGGTATTGATACGCTGGCTTGGGGTCATCATGAAATTAGTGAAATTGAGAAAAAATATTGTTAGATGAAACGTAAATTTTCATAAAACTTTAAGCAAAAATAGAAAATAAGATACAAAAATGAGACAGTTTTTCATTGATTTTTCATAAAAATGTAACATTCTAGTAAAATTATGATATATTCTGTATAATTCACAGGTAAAATGGTTTCAAATCGAACCTATATGATTTATATATTATATTAATTATTATTAAATATTCTGAAATGTATGGAAAAAGAAAAAAGAAAATGAAACAACTGTTTTTTTTTCAACGGTACAACCGAAAGAAGAATTTTTTATTATTCATAATTTCATTTCATTAATATAATACAGTTGAAACTTGATTGTTTGTTGTTTTCAACATTTTTTATATTTATACAATATTTTTTAGACAATTAAATTCCATAAATAATCGTAAAAGTGAAATTCAGGACGGCTTCTTTTTCCCGGGCCGAAATAAACAACATAAAGAGGCGTTGTCTCTAATTTGAGATTATCAACAATTTCCAGATAACGCTCACACAGAATCAAATACTTGTCACCGATTTTAACTGTTGGGCACACTCGTTCAATTTTAGCAACATTGCCTCTAAACACGCCAAAACCGCA